TGTGTGTGTGTGTGTGTGTGTGTGTGTGTGTGTGTGTGTGTGTGTGTACACCTCTTATTCATTCATTCATTAGTCGATGCACATTTGAGCTCTTTCCATAATTTGGCTATTGTAGATAATGCCTCTATACATCAGGGTGCATATATCCCTTTGAATCAGTCTTTTTTTAATTCTTTGGGTAAATACCTAATAATGAAATTGCTGGATTATAGGGTAGTTCTGTTTTTAACTTTCTGAGGAACCTCCATACTGCTTTCAAGAGTGGCTGTACCCATTTGCATTCCTACCAACAGTTTAAGAGGGTTCTCCTTTTACTGCATCCTTGCCAACACCTGTTGTTGTTTGCGTTTTTGATTTTAGCCATTCTGACGTGTGAGTTAATATCTTGTAGTTTTGATTTTCATTTCACTGATGATGAGTGATGATGAGCATCTTTTGATGTGTCTGTTGGCCATGTGTATGTCTTCTTTGGAATGTCTATTCACATCTTCTGCCCATTTTTTAACTGGATTGTTTGTTTTTTGGGGGTTGAGTTTTAGAAGTTCTTTATATATTTTGGATACTAATCCTTTATTGGGTATGTTACATGCAAATATTTTCCCCCACTCAGTAGGTTGTCTTTTAGTATACTCATTTGTTTTTGATGTACAAATGTTTTGTAATATTTTACAGTTTTATGTTTTAGGTTTATGGATTCATGGCACATATGCTTAGAAAACAATTCTCACTTTGAGATTAGATAAATACTGACTTTCTACAGTGTTTGCATTATTTAAATATTTAACCGGTTTGGCATTTATTTTGGTGTATATATTAAGGTAATTTAATTCTTTCAATTGTTTTATACTTACTTATTATATGTTTTAGTTTCAGTTATTTCAAATGGTACTTTTAACATTATACTGTATTTTTATAGATGCTTGGACTTACCTGGGGCTTTTTATTTTGTTCTTTTTCCCCACTGCCTTTTTTTGTGGTAATACCATCCTTTAAGAAAAATACTTAATACTGAGTCACGTGGGTGGCTCAGTGGGTTAAGCGTCCAACTTTGACTCAGGTCATGATCGCACATTTCGTGGGTTCGAGCCCCATATCAGCAGAGAGCCCGCTTTGGATCCTCTGTCTCCCTCTCTCTCTGTGCCTCCCCGGCTCATGCTTTCTCTCTCACTCTGTCAAAAATAGGTAAATATTAAAAAAAAAATTTAAATATATTTAATACCTTTGAAGTGCAAGTCGCCTGCCCTGTTCCATAATTCTGTTATCTCTGACCCAAAACTTTCTTCTAATAACATTTTTTTGAAATTTTCTGGGCTGTTGTTTGTTATTATTCCAAATAAGTTTTTAGACTAAAATTCATTTCTACAAATAGGTTTTCTAAAATTTTACTTACAGGTATTATAGTCCTAAGTTTAATTTAGAAGGGGAATTGATACGAATACAGTAAGTCATCTTATTCATCTGGGATATGGATTATCCATTTGTATTTCTTCCCTTAAAAAAGACAGCTTTAATTTATGTTCTGTATGGGAGTTTAAAATGTTCTAATATATTTTTATGACCTGCTTTTTGCCTTTTTTTTAGGTTCTCTTTGGAAAAGTGAAGAAAATTCGGCCTTCATTGGATAAAAACAAAGTTTCTTTGGATCCTTCTCCTAACTTTGATTGTCACATGTCAAGAAGTATACCTTCTCTGAAAGATGCCATTGAGTTACAAGCCTACAATTCAGCAGTATGTTAACTTTTGGGTTCATGTGACTACTTGAAAGTGACATGCTTCACACTATATGATACACAACTTAAAACAGCTTCTTGAAATATTAAATGAAAATCCCTTATTTTATTCAATATAGTAAGACAAATAAATAATGAAAGCTCTTTAATATTTGTGATTTGGGAATATAGTAAAGAAGTTTCCAAATTTGCATTTAACCTTGTTCAAAATACAGTGGCTGCTTTCTTTTATTTAGTTGTTCCGTAGATTAATTCCTAACTTGCAAAACATGCCAACTTTTTTATAACAAGCTATTTTGAAATCACAACTGGAGAAAAGGCTTATATGTTCATCGTTACATGTGAAACAATAATTTTCTATCATAAGTTGCTAAGATACTTAGTAGACCTTTCCTCTTCTGTAGAATATTAAATTATATGTGGTAAACATTGCATATCATCATCTGTATGACTAAATGAAGGTAAATTTTCTAGAAGTATGTATATGCTCCCACATGTAAAATGTATCAAGCAATTATTATTTTCCTAATTAACGGGTATGTTACATGCAAATAAAACTTAGGGGTTAACAGCATATGCAAAACATTGAACTTTTTTTAATTTTTTTTTTCTTTTTGAGAGAGTGAATATGAGCAGGGGAGGTGGCAGAGAGAAGGGGACAGAAGATCTGATGGGGATTCCACACTGACAGCAGAGAGCCAGATGCAGGGCTCGAACTCACAAACGTGAGATCATGACCTGAGCTGAAGTTGAATGCTTAACCGACTGAGCCACCCAGGCACCCCTAAAACGTTGAACTTTTAATGGAAAAAAATCTTTTTTAAAAAACAAATAGTTTCTCGGGCACCTGGGTGGTTCAGTTGGGTAAACGTCAGACTTCAGCTCAGGTCATGATCTCACCATTTATGGGTTCAAGCTCCTCATTGGGCTCTGTGCTGACAGTTCATAGCCTGAAGCCTGCTTCAGATTCTGTGTCTCCCTCTCTCCCCTCACACTCTGCCCCTCACCCGCTCATGCTCTGTTTCTGTCTGTCTCAAAAATAAATAAAACATTTTAAAATTTTCTTTAAAAAAGAAGAAAAAATAAAAACAGACAGTTTATGCTGCTGCCCACACTAATAACATACCAAAGAAAATATGTGTGGTTGGGAGAAAAAATTTATACCTTCAAAAAAACTAGAGTTAAAGAATGTGGGGAGAAGTGGGTATATGGAAGCAGGTGAATAAATAACAAACATGAAGTTAGTTACATAGCTTTTTAAAATATGAGCTTATTCAATTCTGCTAACACTAATTAGTTTAAAATGTTTTTTTTCCTTTGTTTTTCAGGTATACTTCTATGAATACAATGTTCTTTCAAAGCCAGTAGATAAACCTAGGCATTGTCTTCCATATGCAACAGTAACTGTAAAATTCATTGGCCAAAAAGTAGATAGTGGACACCTTATTACATCTTTGAGGTTCCTTTCAACAGGATTTCCTAAGAGGGCTGGTAAGATACAGACATTATTATGCTTCCGTAGCATGTGTGCTGGTAGTAGAACTTCTGAATATTATTTTCTAATACGTTATCAATCTGTAAGCAAAATAGTTATGCTTTAACTTTTTAATTTTATGTATCTGGAATTATACTACAGATGTTTTTGTGACTCCTTTTGCTCAGTATTATCTTTGTGTGATTCTTCTTTTTTTTTTTTTTTTTGAAGTTTATTTATTTTTAGAGAGAGTGACTAGATAGAGCACAAGCAGGGGAGGGACAGAGAGTGAGACACAGAATCTGATGCAGCCTCCACACTCTGAGCTGGTCAGCACAGGGCCCACTGTAGGGCTCTAACCCATGAACCATGAGATCATGACCTGAGTCAAAGCCAGATGCTTAACCGACTGAGCCACCCAGGCATCCCATTTGTATGATTCTTCTATGCTGATATGTATACCTGAGTTTCTTCATGTATATGTATTCACACACACACATTATTCTGTTTTTTGACTACACACTATTCCTCTGGGGATGTTTGGATACTTGCCAGTTTTCTTCATATTCCAGACATTGCTGTTTTAAACATTTATGTAAGTGTCTCAGTGCATATGGGCAAGAGTTTTGGTATAGAGTAATATAATGTCTACATCAGAAATGTACAACTTAATCCAAAGATAATATCAACTAGTTTTCAAAAGTGGTTGCATCAGGTTACATAATTACTCTATATCTTTGCCAACACATACACTTTTTAAAAAAATGTCTGTTTCTGCCAGCTCAGTGAGTGTGATATGTTATCATCATCGTTTCAAAAAGAAACTATACTCTTGAAAAGCCATCATATCCCTTTCCCCTCAGGCCTGCCCCTAAGCAGTCGCTAATCTGCCTTCTGTCTCTTAGTACGACTGACCCGTGAACAACACAGAGGTTAGAGGTGCCAACGCCCACGCAGTCGCAATCTATGTTTAACTTGTAACTCCCTGAAAACTTCACTAGTAATAGCCTAGTGTTCACTGGAAGCCTTACCCAGAACATAAACATTGATTAATGTGTACATTGTATGTTATATATTCTATATACTGTATTCTTAGAGTAATATCTAACTTTTTCTTAATTTTTATTGGCATTTCTAGGCTATGTGGTTCATCTGTGAGATTTTTTAAATTGTGGCAAATCTCCAAAAAATTTTCCAATATATTACATGAAAAAAATTCCATTTATGAGTGAACCCATGTAGTTCAAACCCATATTGTTCAAGGGTCAACTGTATTTGCCAATTCTGGGCATTTCATATAAGGGAATTCATAAATACGTGAAGCAAAGTGGCCTTTCATGAGTAGTGACTTTCATTTAACTGTTCTTAAGGTTCTTGCATGTATTAATACTTCATTCCTTTTTATGGCATAATATTACATTAAATAGAAACTATATCAGTTGAGGACATTTGGGTTGTTTCCATCTTTTAGCAATTATGAATAATCTTGCTATGAATGTTCTTGGACAAATTTTGGTACAGACCTGTGTTCTCATTTCTCTTGGGGTATATAGTTGGGAGTGGAATTGCTGGGTCATATGGTAACACTGTTATCACTTGAAGAATTGCCAAACTGTTGTCCGAAGTGGCTGCACCAGTGACATTTACACCAGTAGTGTACGAGTGCTAGGATTTTCCACTTCCTATGTTATTATCTTACTTTTTGTTTATAGCTACCCTGGTGGAGGAAGTAAATGTTTTCAGGGTATAAGTTTTATGCTTCTTTTGTTAAGTTTATTTCAAGTATTGTATTTTTCGATACCTTTGTAAGTAGAGTTTGCTCAATTTCACTTTTTATGTTCCTCTTTGAAGTATATAGCAATGGTGTTATTTTTGTGTATTGATCTTGTAAATGATCTTGCTGATCTCATTATTAGTTCTAATAGTTTTTCAGTGATTTCTTTAGGATTTTCTATATAAAAGATCAAGTCATTTACAAATAGAGTTAGTTTTACTTCTTCCTTCCCAGTCTGGGTGTCTTTATTTCTTTTTGTTGCCTAATAGCCCTGGCTAGGACCTCCAGTTGAATGTTTAATAGAAATGGTAGGAGTGGACATTCTTACCTTATTTGTAAACTTAGGGGAACGTATTCATCCCTCACCAGTAAGTATGATGTTAGCTATGGAGTTTTTTGATGTCTTTTATCATGAGGAAATTCCTTTCTATTCTTAGTTTGTTGAATGTTTTTATCATGAAAGGGTAGTAATTTTGTCAGATCCTTTTGCTGCATCTATCAAGATGATCACATGATTTTTAGTCTTCACTGTGTTACTGTGCTGTGTCACACTAATTGATTTTCAGATATTAAGTAAACTTTGCATTTTTGAGGTAAATTCCATTTGGTCATGGTATGTGATTCCTATTATATGTTGGTGGAATCAGTTTACTAAATTTTTGAAGATTTTCATGTCTATATTTATAAGATACATTAATCTGTAGCATTCTTGTGATGTTTTGGTATCAGAGTAATACTGGTCTCATAGAATAAGTTCGAAAGGGTTTCCTTTTCTTCCATTTTTTGGAAAGAGTTTGTGAAGAATTGACATTAATACGTCTTTATACATTTGATAGACTTGACTATTAAAGCCATTCAGGCTTTTTGGGGGGGGGTAGTTTTTTATCACTAAGTCAGTTTCTTCACTTACTGTCATTCAGATTTTCTGTTTCTTCTTGCATCAGTTTTAGTGGTTTGTGTCTTTGTAGGAATTTGTCCATTTCATCTAACTTACCTAATTTATTAGCATCCTGTCATTCCTAGTATTTCTTTATAGTCCTTTTTATTTTTGTAAAGCCAGTAGTAGTATCCTCTCTTTAACTTATTGTTCTACTAATTTCAGTCTTCCTTCTTTATTTTCTTGGTCAGCTTGGCTAAAGTTTTGTCAGTTTTGTTATCTTTTTCAAAGAACCAACTTTTTTGGTTTCATTATTATTTTTTCTATATTTCTGTTCTCTCTTTTATTATTTCCCTCCTTTTTGCTTTAGGTTTAGTTTACTCTTCTCTTTCTTGTGTCTTAAGGTGGAAGGTTAGGGTATTGATCTTACTTCTTTGATAATGTACATATTTACAGCTATAAATATCCCTGGTTTTTTTTTTTTTTTTTTTTTTT